GACTTTTTCTAGAAATAAAAGACTTTATGGTATTTATTTTTGACCTGATGGAAATCGTTTCCTGGGAGAAAAGACTTTCCCGAGAAACCACTGCCAAACAAAGAAAGTCATTTTGGGCCTCCATTTCCCTCAAAAACTTTAATCAAACAGGCCCTTACCACTAAAAACGGGAAAGGTAGTCTGCGCCAATGCCAGGATCTTCATCTTCCATCAGTAGGAGCCAGGACCCAGAAGCATAGCAATAACATCCAGGCAGAGTTGGATACTGGCGTTGCCCTCAGCCACCACCCCGTTTACTTCCCTCATCTTTGCCAGTTCCAGTTTTTTGTGCTCCAGCACTTCCTTCGCATTCCTTTCCTCATCTTTCAATCGCTTTACATATGCTTTCATCTTTCTCACATCTGCTTTCATTCTCTTCACTTTCTTCTCCTTTCTCTTTTCTCGTTATCCAATTTTGTTTTGCAGAAGGAAAAATTCCCAGAAAAATAGAAGTATAATTTAGTTCTTCAACAAATTAAAGCTGTGAAAAATAGATAAATTGGCGGGAGAATGCAGCTAGCTACCTGGAGCTTCCTTTTCCACGACCTTTGATGCTTCCTTCCACAAACTTTAGCTTTGCAGCTTTTCTTCATCAAAGCCATCAAAACCCAATCTGTAAGTACAGAAAAGCTACATTCTTTTATTCTAGAAAACGTTCGAGGGCATAAAATCACAGAATTTAGCCCAGGAAAAGTTCACTCCTTATGCCTACAACATGTTTGTGGTATTGCGTAAAAGAACTCGAGTGTAATAAATCAGAAGAAACACTAGAAAAGAAGCAAACTTCTTACGTTTAAATTTGTCTTGAACAGCTAACGTGAAGAGAAGAAGAGCCAATTGTTTTTCTTTTGGTATGCAATATATGATGGGAAGAAAAAAATGAAAAGCTTGCTTAAATAAGTTGCGAACATGTAACTGTGAATGGTTCAATGATGGTGACGGATGTTAATAGTTTGTTAACTGTAAAGTAATGGCTAAGGAAACATATGCGGATCACAGGTGATTTACAGCTAGTAGGAGGCTGGGAACCGAGGGGTCGAGCGAGAATAACGTGTGACACAGCTAGACTCTTAAGGGGTCGTTCGATTGGTTGCTAAATCCAAAATTGTCACCATCGAAAGATTTCATTTTCTGCTTTTCTTCTTCATTTTTCCACAAAATTGCAGACTAATAGCGTTGGTGGGATACGTGGAGGTAGATGGAATGGGATTGATTATGTCATTATGAAACCTTTTTCATTTGCGAACTCTAGATCCCATTCCCATTGTAGTAGAAATCCCACTCCCATTAAGTATTCCCTCATATTTGTTACACGTTTCTTCTTTTTGTTCATTTTGCTGAAAAAGTGAGAACTTGCTTTCTCTTTTTCCCACCCACAACTCTTTTTAATTTGGCTTGGGTGTTGTCCCTTGGACACCATTTTGATTTTGGAGCTCAAATCATTTACGGATTTGCAGTAGCACTCAGATCATTTATGTTTGGAAAATAGAAACGAAACAAAAGAAAGAAATTGTGTTATGAGGCGTGAACTAATGTCACAGTTCTATCTATTCTGGATTGGTGTTCTATGCCTAGGAACGTTTTAAGTATTTAACTGGTATTTTTGAGTCTGCTGCTGCATCCTGGTTTAGTATGAATGATTTTTGAATTGCCTGTAGTCCTCCCAAAATTGTCACGGAAACTGGCCTAGCATGGTAGCAGATGCGGTACTACTGAATTATATGTCATTTAGACCTTGATTGGTGGTAGCAGTTTGAGTAGTGTGGGTTGTCTCTTCTTTGTCAGGATGCAAGGTCATGCCAGCATACTATGTTTGATGAGTGGAGGGGAAATAGTATGTTATGCGCTATCGTAAATTTGGTTTCTAATGCGATGAAGTACCCCTTATTTATTATAAATTTTTCCTTTGCTGATGAAAAACTACTCCTTTTGTTCCTTTCAAGTTGCCGCTTTGAGTTATTACACATAAGTTTTAGTAATGTTTTTATAAGATATTGATTGACTATTGATTATTTTATTTTTAATCAAATGAATATATTAAACAAGATTTAGGTACATAAAAAAAAAATCAAATGATAATTGAAAAGAGACAGTAGTAGTATTTTTTTTTCCAAATGATAATTCATTGCTTGAATGTTTATTAATTGGTTACAATCTATATCAAGAGTTACAACCATATATTAAACCTTACATAATAAAAACTTATTTTATTTAAATGTACTAAATTCATATAGAGGAATTCCCTTAGGATTGTCTAAGGTGAAATTAGTTTAGAAATAGACAGAACTTACTTGGAGCATCCGTCCAAAAAAGGAAAAACACCATGATTTGAATATGTATTAATTGGTTACAGCTCATGCGGAGAGTAACAATTATTAATCCTTTAACATAGTTCTGAGGATCACTGTGGCTCGTTCTGCTTCCTCATAAGTTCACTGGCAACAAAAAGAAGAAGACAAAATTATAATTTTCAATTTATGATGATCACAAACAGAACATCAATTAATTTGTTCTAATTTATCTATTTTTTACCCTCTTCTTTTCTTTATTTTTTCTCTGATCAGCAATGTTAGCAGAACCAGTAGGTAATCTTGTTTTATAATTAATGAAATGAGGAAATTAATGGAGGAAAATCAAAAGGTTCATTAGACCAACCGCAGATGCATAACAAGATTGGTGACTTTGGAGGGGTTGCAGTCTTTCTTTGCTTTCAAAATTTCAAAGATAAGGTTGAGTCGAAGCTGAGTTTCAGCTCTCTGTTTAAATATGAATTCTGTTTCCTTCCTGAGCTGATCGCATTCAGCTCCAAGTTTTATTAGTTTTTCTCTTACTTCTTCCTGCCCCTCCTTGACGCGTTTTTGTTCTCGACTGATTCCTTCCATCTCTGCTTTTAATTCCATAATTCTTCTGTTTGAGTTATTCAATCTTTTTCTCCTCTGGCACCAAAACTTCAAATTAAACAAAAGAAGAAGAAAAAGAACGAGAAAAAAACAAAAAACTTGATTCATGATCGGACAATCTTAGTCGTTAATGTTATTCATGTCCACATTTAAGGTTTGTGGTTGTCAGATCATTCTTGGTTTTTTCCTCAGTCAAGGCTAATAAAATTGGGAGAGGAAAGAGTTTAACATAGATACCTGTTGCTTCCTTAAAATTGATCTGCACTTGCGATGGCGTTTCCGCAGTGATTTCAAACCAGTCTTTCTATCCGGCACCACGAGGTCCGCTCCCAAATCCATTCTCTTCACGGACTCTTTGCGTGGGGAGCGATGCCAAGGGCCAATTATTTTCCGCTCTACTAATTCATGTAGCATTTTAACCCCTTTATATACTAATACAATACCAAATGTTACCCCAGACCTGAAGTGCACGCGAAATATATTCCAATTCTAAAGGAAAGTATCTCGATTATTCCGTGTGTAATCGATCGATATCTACAAACTACTATATAGGGAAAATATCGTTCGAAGAAGACTAGGCAATTTGTTTGCTGAAACGTGTAGTGTAGAGACACAGAAAAGAATATCCACGAGGTGTTACTAGAGAAGTGCAAGGTAAATACAAGGGTAGGCAACTTCTCTGTCATCAGACTTGATGGGTAATTATCGGACTGATCAAATAATTGAATCACAGCTTAATTGGGTTATTAGGTTGATTAAAATTAACCAAGAATACTATTGTATGAGAGTTTAGTCTGTTGTCAGTACAGAATCTGCATAACAACTGATGATAGTTTGTTCTATTTGTTTGATCAAGTATTGGGTTATTCGGTTGATCAAGTATTGCATAACAACTGATGATGGTTAGTAATTAAGTAATGATGGAGGAGACGAAATCCGGGGACGAAATGGACGACGACAAGTGATGCAAGGAGGTCAAATTAGTAATTGCATCATATGCATGAATCTTGCATCACTTGTAGTCCCTCGATTTCGTCCTCTCTATCATTACTCTTAGTAATTAGCCTACTATTTTAGTTTAATTATTGATAGACAAACTTCTTAACGAAACATTTTTGTTAACCAACCGAACCAATTGGAAAAAAAATGTAGCAACTAGCTAGACTTGCTGGCAAAAAAAAAAAAAACATTAAGAAGAAGACTTTAATTTTGGTTAAAGAGGACATTCTATTGGCCGACCAAGAGGACTTTTACTTTGGAGTCTTTACGTGTGGTAGCTGCATCTCGCGAGGTTCGCGCGGTATTCCGTTGGATCCGATCAATACATCGGCGGA